CTCATCGAAATCATTAGAGGCTCCATCAGTCAACACGATCATTACTTGCGGTACTTGTGATCTTCCATTGAGTAAGAACTGCTGCATGGCTAGTCTTATACCAGCTGCAGTGTTAGTGCTTCCTGGTTGATAAGGTACAGCGCTAATGGCAGATATTAATTCTTCTCCGCTAACACTTGCTAGCTCTATGACAACAGAGGCGCTAGAGCTAAATCGGACTAAGCCAAAGTTTGCCGTCTCTGACGAGTTGTATTGCTTAACTATTTCTGTGAGGAATTCTTTTTGTACGTTGAAGTCGGTCGGAGTGATGGAGCTTGAGGAATCAACGACGAACATGAAGTCCATCTTTCTTTGACAAGTTGGCTCTATTGATACAATAAGAAGAGGTTAATGAAACATACAAGAGATGTGTTTGGAAAATAGTAAATGTAAACTAAGACTAAAACAATGTCTTTTAATAATAAATATACAGTGTAGCTTCTATATAATGGACACTTATGGATATGAAAGTGTCTCTGTTATACAGAGGTGTCCTTTATGTGGAGGTTATAGTATAGCACTTTATCTTTGAGGAGCTAAACTTTCGCTATTTTCGCAGTTCGCATGAAACCGTGAAATTAAAGATCCGCTAAAATTTCAATTGCCATTAAAGGCGTGGCACTAACATTGCAAATCTGCAACAGTTATTTCCGCGAAAAATTTATTTTTATTAATCCGCGAAATTTTAGCTCCGCAAAATTAAAGCGCTATACAGTATTTTATACAGTAAGAAATGTAATTGGTACACCAGGTGCTGTCAATTAAAAGCTATCAGTTAAGAGAGGCTATACTATCTCAAAGTAATAATATTTATCAGTAATTAACACAAAACTCGTCAACTCACCACAAACCCTCTCGGCCAGTGGCTTGAGCAGTGAATTAAAGAAACTCTCAGAATAATCTTGAAGGAGAGAGACATGCTTACTATCAGGGTCACTAGCAACAGCATTCAACTCATCCTCATCAATGCTACTACCGATACCAATAGCGTATATATCAACACCATTAGCTCTTGTAGTAGCAGCTTCCTGTACGGTGAGGTCAGGATCGTTTGACTGACCATCTGTCACAATTAGTACAGCACGAGGAACACTCTCTCGACCATTCTTTAATAATTCTTCTCTAGCTATCCTCAACGCCTCTGCAGTATTAGTGAGTCCGGGCTTTTGCTGTATACCACTTATAGCTTGAGTTAGTTCATTTTGTGAGTCAAACTCTCCCAGTTTGATGCTGAGGTAAGCGTCGGTGCTAAAAGTAACGATGCCGAATTGAGCCTGACCTGTACCGATTGGGAACTCGCTGGTGAATTGGGCAACGAATCTTTTGATGGAGTTAAAGTCGTCTGGAAGAATGCTGGCAGAGGAATCCATAAGTATCATCATGTCTATCTTTACTCCACAGGCTTGAGCTGCACAAAATTATATAAAAATAAAAATATATACATACATGTAATTATTTTAAAAGAGGTGACTTAACATATAAAATACTGGCTAGGCAAATAAATAAATAAATAATTAAATAATAAAATGATAAATGGAAATACAGTCAGTTACTTACTATCATCATCAGTGATTCCTATTCTGGTGCTTGGTCTTGTAACTTTAACAAATTCATCATCTGCTCTTATCGAGGCAGTGAAGAACTCCAGTGTCTCTGGGACAGCATCGTTCATTATGTTAAACCGTGCAGTGGTCATTGGTTGTGTTGGGTTTAGAGTGTAGGTTTTCATTACACCAGTGTAATCATCATCACCTGTAAAGAGGAGAGTAAAAGACTTGCTCCAAAATCGGGCCAAAGTCACTGTACTATAGTACAGGGTCATCGGCCAAATTTCATCAAAAATAAAAAGTTGAGAATTCTTCACTTTTACAATTTTTTCTAATGCATATACATGTATTTATGTTGTGTAGAAAGTTTGAGCTGATTCCAATTAAATTTCCGTTTTTTATGCATTTTTAAAGTTGCTCCAAAATCGGGCCAAAGTCACTGTACTATAGTACAGGGTCATCGGCCAAATTTCATCAAAAATGAAAAGTTGAGAATTCTCCACTATTATAATTTTTTCTGATGCATATACATGTACTTATGTTGTGTAGAAAATTTGAACTGATTCCGATCAAGTTTCAAAATTTTTTATGAATTTTTAAAGTTGCTCCAAAATCGGGCAAAAGTCCCTGTACTATAGTACAGGGTCATCGGTCAAATTTCGCCAAAAATGAAAAGTTAAAAATTCTCCACTTTTATAATTTTTTTCTGATGCATATACATGTACTTATGTTGTGTAGAAAATTTGAGCTGCTTCCGATCAAGTTTAGATTTTTTATGAATTTTTAAAGTTGCTCAAAAATTGGACCCTGCCTGTACTATGGTACACAAAACATAATTTCATCAAAAATGGCTAGGAGGAAATTTCTTGCATTTCCTGAGATAATAGGCCAATAATGGCTTTCTAAGCTAACAAAAGATTTCTCTTACTTGTAGCTGTTCCATCTATAAATGAAAACTGTACATCCACCTGTCTGTTCAGTGTCCCATTTAAAATGCCAAAAGACACGTCAACAAAAGAGCCATTCTCAGCGACTGTGTAACGAGGCTTTGCAAACCCGATCGTCACCTCTGTTAATTGAAAAGATAAGATCAAATACAATAAAGGTAGCTATTTTCAACTAGTAATATAGTGTCTCTAAACAGAACTAAGTTTACTATTTACTACAATATCAAAAGGAATACCATATTGTTTTACTAGTAAACAAATTTACATACTAAAATAGAATTAATACAATATTTTAAGGAGCTACTATAGCCCTCAATATTCACTTTGACACTGTAAATATTGGCTCTATTAAAATAATATAAAGTATAATACTTTTTCTCTGAATTGCCAGCACTTAAAGTTAAAATACATTTAGTTCAACGTACCACAAGTTTCTCTTATAATTGGTCCCAATATAGTTACAAATTGTTCCCTTGAGAAATTGGAAATAAGGAAGACATTGTCAATACTAGGAACGTTAGCAATTCCATTCAACTCTTCGGTATCAATCTGTGGTCCTATACCAATGCTTAATATACGAATCCCCTCATTTTTAGTTTCCAGAGCTTCTTGAAAAGTTGCTGCAGGGTCGTCAGAACGGCCATCAGTAAATAGAATTATAACTTTTGGTACTCCTGCTCGGCCATTTTGCAAGAGCTCCTCTCTCCCTGTCTCTATGGCCTCAGCAGTGTTTGTAGTCCTTGCCTTATAAGGTAGGTTCATTACTTCTATGTAGAACGAGGCAGGGTTTGAGTGTCGGCCAAGTGGAATATCCAGCGAGACTACACCTGAGAAAGTGACGACGCCGAATCTCGCTCCGCCGGGCCCAAATTTGAATTTCTTTGCAACGTCTGCGACAAACCGGACCATTGCAATGAAATTGGATGGCCCAACACTACCAGACGAATCAAGAATGAACACCATATCAATCTCCCTCATGCATCTTGGCTCTGAAATACAATTTTAAAAATATTGTAAATAATACTGCTTATCATATCAATATCTAACCTTCGGCCTCTATCCCTAAGTATAAATAATAAAAATAACATTAAATTACTAATAAAAGGCAAGATCTATGCCACATACTTTGATCAAGTATGGTGACTGTGGCAGAATCACGTGTTCCTATTCTTAAAATGCTAGGAGAGAGAGATGGAGCCAATCTACTAAGGGAAACGGTAAAAGACTCGTCCCTCTCCTCTTCATTATCTGGTACAAGAGCATATGAAGCACAAACTCTTGTCTCCCCTGGCTGGAAAGTCTTCAATTGTACTCCACCAACGTAATCATTGGGATCTGTGAAAAAGAAAAAAAATTAAAAATTAAACAAAAAATTTGGCTCTGTGCAAAAATTACAATGATGCTGTATGCATTGTTTGTATTTACCATTGGCAGTGACTGAGGTTGTAGAGAAGGTAATAGATATTTCTTTGACTGCAGGGGAAGAGAGAGCAGCACAGACATTCACAGCAGGTGCAGTTTCATTAATTCTTATCTCTGATGTCTCCATTTCCACAACGATTTCTGCAGAGATCATGCAAGTATTGATATAAGATATGCTAGATCTCATAGAAGGGTTTTAAAATTAAATGTTACCTTCATCATCTCTAATGCTTATTATAGCATTTTTGTGGAGGGTAGGTGATCCCAGTATGATCCTCTCATCAGTTGCATCAACAAGAGAAGCTGTAACAGCAAAACTCTCCAAATCTTCAGTTCCAACATTATCATCTCTTATGTTAAACGAGACTACTTCAATGTTACTAGGACTGGAAGGTAAGAATTCAACAATTTTATCAATCTGGATTCTTGAGTCAATGATATTGCTTGATTGACTTGTGCTATCTGTATAATTTATTTTTATTTTTAAGATACAGCATGATGTGAAAAGCACTTACTTCCTTTAACATGAACTCTAATTGTTTTTGCAATTGCACTTGAGAGAGCAAGTGTAATATTTGGGTGTCTCTCAGACTCTGAAAATGCAAATATCCTTTTCTCAAAACCAATATGAACAACTATACGGAAAAAGAATCAAGTCCAATATTAAAATTTAGGTCTAATTTGGATATCAGAATTAAGCTGGTAACAATTACAGCATCCCTTCCTGGATACAATGTAGGTGGTTTCAATGCAAAGACTGGCTAAAAGAGCTAGTTGACAAACACATAAGCCATTAGCTCTAGACATGCATCACTTAATGCCTGTCTATGCCTTTGGTGTGATAACAAACAGATTCTTAAGTATTTTGACTATAACGTTTATAATTCAACTAACACCTAGCACTGCATATACTGTACTTCTCAGTACATTAGATGGGACTGAG